CATTTGTCTTGACTCCACATAATGGTTTTGCAATTCATCAATGCAATGATTCCCTTTTTTGATTCATTTCCATTTTATGATTATACCACAGATCATTTATTCATTCTTTTGTTGATTGCAATATTTTTTTAATAAAGGAAATTATTCTTTAATGAATTTCTACTTAGGATGCTTCTGCCTTTCTGTTAAGAATTCTCTCCCACCATTTAAGCAATCATGGCTGTTAAGAGTCTCATCTCTGAAATCAGGAAGCTCTGGATTCCTATTTCAGTACCAACTCTCCCTAACTGGGGGATCTCAGGCCAGTGATCTAGCCACAGTGCACCTTACTTTTCACATCTGTAAACTGGAAATAAGAATCTCTACAGGAGGTAAGATGCTCATCATGAGAGCTGTCTGTGGTTCCTCAGCTCACTCCTGTAACACTGGTTAACAGGAGCCTGCTATGCCCCCACCGTGCTGAGCCTTGGGAAAGCAATGGGAAACATAACCAGGCATAGACCTCACGGGACTTTCAGTCTGCTGAGCTACACGGACACCGAGTAACAAATTGCATGATTCATTGTTGAATTGCCATTGTTATCAGTGCTGCCAGGGAGACTTGTCAGCTGCTGGGAGCATGGAGCCAGGTTGCTCGAGGAAGCTGAGCATGGAAAGATGAGCCAGGCAGGCAAAGGGGGAGTCTGTAAAGCCAAAGGGCCAAGGTGCTCCAGGCTTTTTACAAGGACAGAGAGCCATGTTTTGGGAGAAGGAAGAAGGCTATATAACTGCAGGTGCAGGTGCTGTGGATAGGAAGAGGTGGGGAAGGAAGGTGAGCAGGGAATAAGTGGAGGCTGACTAGGCTGGGCTATAACAACCACTTTACAAAGGTAGGTCTTGAACATCAGAGGCCTGAGGTCAGGCAGGCTGGACTGTACACCATATGGCACTGTCAGGCAGGAGGTGTCTACTTCATTCACGGTTGCATCTCTGGGGCTCAGAACATTGCCCAAATCGACTTATGCAAGGGAGGGAGGGTTGATTTGAAGTTTAAGATTTGTGTCTTGTACAGGTTCCTGGCTATGTGCGAGACTAGGTGGGAGGAAGCTCATAATGTATATTCCTTGCCTCCACCATAACAAAACGTCACAGACTTTGGTGGCTGAAACAAAGATGCATTTTCTCACGGTTCTGGAGATGGCAAGTCCCAGCAGAAGGGCTGGCTCCTGGTAAGGTCACTCTTCCTGGCTTTTGATGGCCTCTCAGTACCTTTCTATGTGCATGTGCAGAGAGAGACATCGCTGGACACCATCCTATCAGATTAGGGTCCCTCCCTTAGGACCTCATTTAACTTTATCTAACTCTAAATACAGTCACAGTGGGGATGCCAATTTAATATATATATTCTGGAGGAGACACAATTTAGTCCCTACCAAGTAGATGCAGGGAAACCAGTTAGATGGTTAAGGAAGAAGTTCTGGTGGCTTGGACAAAGAATCAGGGAAAATCGAGGGACACTGAGCAGAAAATCCACCAAAATCAGGAATGGGCTTTATGAAGAGGGGGGAGGAAGCAAGAGGTGTCAAGGACACACAGGTTTCTACAGTAAGTATAGTGGGTTTAATGGTGGCTCCTGAAAAAAAAAAAATATATTCATCATGCTAGCCACTAAAACCTAAATGTGACTTTATATAAGAAAAAGGTCTTTGCAGATATTATTAAGTGGAGGATCTTGAAACGATATCATCTGGATTATCCAGACAGGCAGTGGGTTCAATAACAAAGAGAAGACACATACACAATAGAGATGATGAGATGATGTGAATGGACAGATGGGATTGGAGTGATGTGGCCCCAAAGAGCCAGCAAAAATTGGAAGAGGCAAGGATTCTCCCCAGAGCCTTTGGAAGGAAGTATGTCCATTCTGACAACTTGATTTTGGATATCTGGTCTCCAGAACTGTCAAATAAATTTCTGTTGCTTTAAGTAACCAATTTTGTGATAATTTACTAAAGCAGCCCTTGGCTACTAATCCAAAGAGTACTTGAAAAGATGATGTTGCCCCTTGTGGAGGAAGAGGACTTCTGGGGGGGAGGAGAGAAGAGAGGGGGTTACCCCAAGTCTTGTGTGATGGGAATAGTATGTTTAGATTCAGATATGTAGAATATGTGCTGACTTAAAGATATCAATGAAGTGAATGGGTAACAGCTGGACTCATGGCAAATAGTCAATTATTGATAGCTATTATCATAATTATTTAATTTGGAACGCTCCTGTATTGTTTTGGATTGCCCTTGTCATGCACATCTGATTTTCCTGGACTCTTGGGACCACACCCAGAATGGCATCCTGCTGGTATCCCAGCAAAATTCAATTCTTTTCACACAACACCCATATGGATGCAAATATTTCTGGGTACGAAGTTGTTTGTACCCCTTGCCTTCAGGCTGAGACCAACTGTGCAACCACCCAGAAATTCTACCTCACAACCATCCGGACTCAGCCAAGGAAAATCCCCTTTCCTTCCCTCTCCTTTTCCCTTCCACTGAGCCTCTGAGCCGCCTGGTTCCTTCGGTAGAGAAGTCCGCCATCTTGTGGTCATCCACAATTCTGACAGCCTTGTCCTAAATCCGAGGGGATTAGAGAGATGACTTGAAAGTCACTTAACATACCTTCCTAACGCTACATAGGACTTCATTTAATTAGGCTCTAAAGCCAGAGCTTAGAAAATCCTCTGGTCTTTAAAATAGCTAAGAGGTAAATGCTTAAGGACAGTCTGTTCAGACTCTGTCTACATTTGACCTCAGAAACCTTCTCCAGTACCAGGAGCTATTTAGTGAAATAGATCCTCACAGGACAGGGAAATAAGGGAAATCCAACCGAGGCCTGTAAACTACCCGCAAGCCCTGACTCAGAGAGCCTATATGGAGCAAAGAGAACACGAGGAAGAGATCACAACATGGGTAACTGCCAAGTTCGCCCACCTCCTGTGGCCAGTCTTTAGTCATGCAGGCCCAAATGCTCACATTCATCAACACATGGAGAGTAGATTCATCCATTATTCTGTGCACACAACCCTGCCAATTCTATCTGCTCAGTGTTGCTCAATGGCTCACCTTTCTTGCCATGGCCACTACTATCCCCTAATTCTGGTCAGCACCATGCCTATCCCCCCTCTACTACAAGCCTCTCAAAGCCAATCCCTGCTTCTTCTCTGGCTCTCCCAGAGGTAGCTCAAGCACACCTCCCATCTTGCCCCTATGCACAGTGCTCCGGGGCTCTTTGTTGTACTGGGGATAAAACCAAACTCCTGACCTGCATGTTTCCAGTTTTATCATTCCCTGCTCACACCCTGCCCTGGGAGCTTCAGGAATTCAGGGTTTTCTCTATGCCTTAGCCACTGGCCCAGGCTTCTTCACCCACGTGTACCCTTCATCTTTTGGAGCACACCCAAAAGTTACCTGTTCAGGAAGTTTCTCCAAGGCCTGTGGCAGAGCTCTGATTTCCTTTGTTTTGTACATCCCCCCAGCTGTCCTCACTTTCCCTCACAGCACCAGCAGCAATTACTGCTGTGATCATCTGCCTGTTTGTGTGGGACTTTAAGCTCCACAGCAAAAGCCAGTCTCTCTTCCGTTCAGTCAGATCCTGGCCTGTAGCTGGCACAGCCCTTTCCCTGACCATAGTGATTAGGTCTCCAGTGTTTCAGGACACAAACGGTCTAGATTCATACACTCTGTGAGGACCCAAATACAGTCACATTCTGAGGTGCTGGGCATTAAGGCTTCAACATATGAATTAGAGGCACGGGAGATACAATTCAGTACATAGTGGTCTCCATTATTTTTGCTTATTTCAGATAAGGAGGAGGACAGTGCAGTTGGTCGAGACTTGTCCCCAATCCCAGGGCTGGGACTTGGTAAGGGACCTTGTCCATTTCCAAATAGTGGCAGCCTCTGCTGTGCCTGCCCAACCTCTGCACAACTCCACCCTCTTGTGCAGCCACTTTATATGCTGCTCACCTGCAAGCGCCCTTCCTGGAGAACACACAGCAACTCCCCCTTAGCGGTCCCTGTGCCAACCTCAGGGCCAGGCATCCAAGCAGAGGGTGTTCTTGAAATAAGCATTTCTTGAAAGGAATGAAATTCAGCAAACAAACAAACAAACAAAACCAACAACAACACACACACCCTGAAGAGTTTTAGGAGATTTAGCTAGAAGGGAAGGAGGACAGGCACACATGCTCCTGATTTGAAGTGATAAAGACTCTTCAGAAGTGGGAAAATGATGAGGCCTATGGATGTGTAAATGAGTCTGGGGAAGAACTAATCAGAAGGGTAAATTACAAACAGAAAAAGACTGTAAAACAAGGGAGGGGAGAACAGCGCATATCTCAGTGTCTTCATAAGAAATTCATGAGCAACGCGTTTGGAAATTTTGTTGGTTTTGGTGGCGGGAATGAATTGTAAATATGTATAATATGTAAATACCTTTGATAATAAAAGCCCATGAAGATAAATGAGCCTGTCTGCAGAAAAGCTGTGCGCTGTATAGGATGATAATATAACTGTCCTCACTCTAAGAAATTAGCATAATGCTTACAGGCTTTGAAAGTTCTGAGCTTTGGAAAGAGACGCAGAACTACTAAGAGGTGCGCGCGCACACACACACCCCACATAAATACTAAGAACACACACACACACACACACACACACACAGAGCTTTCCCTTCCTATTTTCCTCTCCTTCCCCTTTGCTTTTCTTTGCTGTGCAATCTGGTCGAGATTCAGACTCACTTTCCCCATCTGCGAAACGGGGACACCGATACCTACACCTTGCCACGTTTAGGGCACGATCTACTGGAGCAGTAAGGCTCAGGCGGGCTTCTTCCCGTCCCGGTGCGCTGGCCAGAGGCCACTGGATGACCTAGGATCTACGACCGAGGCCCGGACCGACTCGGGGGTTGGCTGGGGCGGGGCGTGTCGGGTCGGGCGGCAGCGGAAGGAAGGGCCGGTCGGGGTGGACTCGCGCTCCGCCCGAGCCGATGGCGCCTATGGCGGGGCGCGGGGCGGCAGGCCTCTGGAGGGGCTGCAACTTGCTCATGGCCGCCTTCTTCGCGCTGGCCGCGGTGGTGCAGGTCAGGCCCCGGGCGCGGATGCGGTGGGCGGGGAGAGGGCCCAGAAGTTCTGCCGGGTGACGGCTCCCAGCTCCGCCCCCAGGCTCGGCGTGCTGTGCAGCCCGGCTAGCCAGCGGGGTCTTAAAGCGGGCAGTTAACGCGCACGGCCAGATTCGCTTCGGGAACCCCTACACCTTTCCTGACCTAAGACACCGTTCACATGTCCACACCAACCCCTCTCTTTTGCTCAGATTGTGGACGGAGCTGATGCAGGGCCTGCCACTTTGAGAGGGACCTGAGCAGAAGCACCCTGTCACCTTTCTTATATAATTCAGCCAGCGAAAGAGTAATTGAGGGCTTCACAATTGAGGGCTTCACAATTGAGGGCTTCACAAGACAGCCCCCTTGACAGCACACTCATGCTTTGGGAACACCCGCAAATAGCTTTCCTCATTACGGGCCCTTAAAATAGCCATTCAGCGTTTGGCCCACACTTTCAGAGTTCCTGTGTAGTTCTTTACAAATAGGGATTGTATGTTCAATTCACCTGTTGCGTTCAGCCAGAAACCTCAATCATCGCGATCTGCTGGACTCTGCCTTATTCCTTTAGACTTCGTCTCCTGGGTGCTTTGCAGCACCTGGCCCTTAACAAATGAACGAAATGAAGGGCAGACCAAATACAGGAATGGAACATGACAGTTTGCTAATCATTTGATGTTTGGTACTGCAGGTAAATGATCCAGATGCAGAACTGTGGATGGTGAGTAGGAGCTGCTTTTCTCCATTTTAGAGAAACGTGAAGCTGTCCGAAACACAGTTTATTCTATTTGCCCCTCCTCCTTGCTAATGCACTTGAAAACTTAGAAATCAAATCCTCAGTAAGTTTTTTCCCCACTTCTCCTCCTAGTCACCCATTTCTACAGTCAACAGAATCATTATCTGAATCACTCTTGCTCAAAACCTGTCATCTCTAACATCTCTTGGCTCCCTAAAAACCTTTGAGAGCTCCCTAAAAACAAACAAACAAAAAGAATCCATCCCCCCGCCCCCAATCCTAGTCTGGGACTCATTGTTTTAAATTCCTGTATATTTTACCTTTTACTTCATGCTTAGATGGCATGATATGAATAATAATAAACATCGTGTCCCCACAGACATCCTCCCTCATTCCCAGCAGTCCTCCTGGTTTCCCCCAAAGGGACCCTAATAATAGTGTCCTCCCTCTTCTAGCTCCCTCTGATCTCTATGGCACCAGGAACACTTCCTATATATTGTTTCCTGTTTGCAAAATGTGTCATTTCCCAAGATCTCTAAATTGAAAGTCCCCAACTTGGCATTCAGAGCTCACCACAATATGGCATTCCTAGCTTGGTTTGGAAGCTACCTTCCTAGGTTGATCCTGGATGCTCTATTAGTTACTGTGCTTTGCCCCTAGAAATTCCTGTGCCTTCCTAATCTACTTAATCAACCTTTCCCAGTCACCATGGGAAACCATTATTTAGTATTGTTTTGTTCATATATTTACAATACATTGAAATATGATTTTAGATTCCTTAATCTGTCAATGACAGACATTGGATATATATGAGTGCACATTTTAAAAATCTCTGCCAATTTTTATAGAGATAATTAAATACTATGTTCTTTCTCTGTTTAACCACCTCCCCAACCTGAATAAGTCATGTCATTTTTCACTAGAGGAAAAATAACCCCTTACTACTCTAAGTATGTTCCTTGGAACAACTACAGCACCCCCTGTGAGTTTACTGAAAAAGCAGAAATTTCGGACCTCTAGAATCAGATCTGCATTTTAACAAGAACTCCAAGTGATTCACATGCCCTAAAATGTGCAAAATGTGGTATAACCCCCCGTGGCATGACTGCCCACCTGGGAGAGGTGGCCAGATCTACCAATGTCAATATTGGCCCAATGCAGTAATCACTAGGGATGAAGGGGAAAATGAACAGAGGTGATCATCCAGACACTCTCTCTTCTCAGGGCCAGGACATGTTTTATAGTGAGAACAAATCACTTAAGCTGTAAGGCTTGGACAGCTTCCAAGTAAACTTAAGGTTTCTGACTAGTCAGGGCAACTGATGTGGCTAAAGCCTGTGCTTATTATAACATTGGTCCCCTATTCACCTTCTGCCCATAACACACATGCAATAGCAAGTTTGGCCACGCTATGGAGGAAGGTGACAAATAGAACCTTTTCAGGACCAGACTTCTAAACTCCAAACCAATTTATCAACAATTCCCAAAATGAAGAGGCTGGCCTTATTGGGCGCATGTGATCTATACATATTAGCAAACTTTTCTATGGTCTCACTTGGAGAGGTGGAATATTGGGATGGATGGTCCATGAGGCCATGCCCAGCAGGGCCTGCTAGCTAGCCATGGCTCCCCTTGCACTACTTTTCAAAGACCATTTTCTTTCATGAAAGTAGGGAGAGGCCATTTGGCCATGGATGTTGCTTGAGACTCAGAGGTCAGTGTGTCTAGAGCTTCCTCAATAGCCTACAGTCTAGGAGGAAGGCAGCAAAAATCACAATCTGCCATGGTAAGTGCCATAAAATTAGAGATTATCACCTCCTCAATTGTTATTGAAGTCTAGAGGTAAATCATGGAGTGTGACAGCCACTGAGTCATCTTCCTTCCTTCCTAGATGCACTGGGTATACTTCTGCACTCACATTAATTATCTCTCTTGCTAACAGGCAGTATATACCATACCTGCAGTGATGACCTTGCTTGTTGGCCTTAACCCTCTTGTCACAGGTATGAATTTTGGATTCTAAAGGGAGATAAATCAGTTTTCCTTATAGTCTCTCTACCCAACTATTAGGGAAAGAATTGGTCTCATCTCATTTCTGATAATAAGAGAGCACTATTTCTAATGCAGATTATCCTCATCCATCTTCAGGAAAACTTCACAGGGACTTGCCACACTATGTCTGTCTTTGTCAACTTGGAATCCAAGATCTCTTATGCTGAGATGTAGAATAGTCATTATGCAGTTTATCCACAAGAGGATTTCAGTCATTGTATTGATCCCTTAAGTCAAAAGTTAATAAAAAACCAGCAGCAGCCAAAGTGCTAACCTTGTGTCCCCATCCTCAGTGGCAATCAATGTCTATTATATATTGACTCTTCACAAATTCTTTCTAGACCAATAGCATTCCCATTAATCATTTTACTTTGAATTCATTCTACATTTATGTATATGAACTGCTACTTATAGAAATTGTTTATGTCTATAAAAAATTTTCAATTTTTCAATACATGCTGTTCTCTCTAATCTCCCTACTCTCTAATGTGCTACTACAGAACCCATGGCAGATTACTGCATGCTTTTATATATGCCTCCCCTCCAGGGCTGTAAGCCCCTTAAAAGCCCCTTAAAAGCAGGTGCAAAGCCCATCTTTGCACAAGCCTAGCTTAAACAAGGCAAGACATATAGTAGATGAGTAATACTTGGTGTATGAATGGGTGGCTGTAAATCACACGTGTTACCATGTATATGTTTTATAACCTGCTCCTTGGACTCCTTACATAAACATCGCAGGTGGGTAGATATGTCACAAGTTAACTTACAACAGTTGGTGTGTCTTGCCCACAGGCTACGTACCTCAATGCTAAGCAAAATGTAGCTGCTCCACCTTTCATGGCCCTAAAAATCCTCAACAAATCTTATATTGGACAGTTTTATATACACAATAGTGTCTTATAACAGAAAAAAATATATTTTACATTGTTTACTCGCATTTTCTTTATCAATGGAGACTATTAGTCTTGACAGGTTACTCTTCATTTTCTTTGAAACAGCTTTTACTAATGGAGCATGGAAGTTCTCAGACCTTAATGACTAATGCTTCCCACCCATGGGAGGGAACTTTGTGCCAAGATGCACAGGCTCCTCATTGAAGTTCCTAGAATTCTTTCTACATATTTAAGGTGTGGTTTCAAGCAAGAACAAATTCAACCCAAATAGAATAAAAGCTAAAAAGATGATGTACGGGGAGTTTACTGAGAAGGCAAGAGGTAGTGCTGGCTTCGGCTCTGGTGGAAGCTCAAAACTGAGACTTAACTTACCATCTACTGCCCTTACTTCAGCCCAGGGCTCCATGGAGTAGCCCTGCAGCTCGAAGTTCACATCCTCATGACACTAAGTCCAAAAGAACAGAGTGCCACCAAACTCTCAGGATTGTGTTGTTGGCCCTGACTTGTCATCTGTTCAGCCATATCACTGTTAAAGTCCAGCTGTCTGGGACACCGGGACTAGGGGTGTAGGAAGGGTAGTTATAGAAAGAGGAGATGCTGAAGAACCAAAACAACAAATGTCCACTTGAGTTTAAAATTACTGTTTAACTTCTATATGATGTCCTTCAACAAGCTTTTTAAAAATACTTTTATTTGAAAACAGAATCAAAGAGATCAATTTCCCCCCTGGGATGTGGCTTCATGATTAACAGCATCTAGATATCTATTTTTAGGTAACTGTATCTGGAAGAGTGTCTCTGCAATACACATATTCTTTTGTGTCATCTGGGCTATCAGCTTGGCGTACCACCTCTTCCTTCACATACAACAGAACATCTTACATGAGGAAGAAGGCAGGTGAGCAGTGACTCTCGCTCTTTGGAGGGATGGGTAAGACTACAAAATCTGTAACCTTACAACATCATCTTAACTGTGCACAATGACTTAATACCCCCTCAGCTACACTGGGAAGATATTTCCTTTATAAGCTGCAGAAATGGAGGAAAATGATGGGGCAAGGACTCAAAGCCAGCCCTAACCCACTCCATGATGTCCACTATGGGTGGACATTACCATCAGGCTCTTGGACCTTGGCCCCTATAGACTAAGCAAGGACACAGTAATACCCAGTACAGTCTAATGGGTGAAACTGTCAGCATTCTGATTCAGTTCAGGTTCAAGCCAAAATTTTATTTGCAAGTGTGATGGGCTACCTCAAAGGTCAGTATTTTATGCCAATGTGGTCATCCTTGCTCATATGTATCCCATTCCTGTTGTGACCATTTGTTCCTCTTTTAGTTCCTCTTCCTTTGCTTCTTCCCACCCTTCCTCCCTGACCTCACTAATAACCCCTTTCCTGTATTTTCTAAATCACTGCTAACATCTGCCAATACCAAGATTCAGAGACCTGTAAGTTAAGCAGCATTGATGAGGTGCTATATATTATAGGCCCTAATCCTTGGAAAACTGGGTCTGATTTGGTCAGTTGAAGGGAATGTAAACCAAGTGGATTGAATCTTTTCTACCAACTTGAAGCCCATAGCTATGGTGAACTCAAAGTGGGGTTTCCAGTGGTAGTAAAAAATATTTTTCCCCCAGTCTATGTACAAAATTATGTGCTTTTAACATGTATTTCTAGAAGCATAGCTCCATCACAAAATCATTAGTCTGACACACACCACAAATCATTCCTGTCCACTAGCATGTGACCCAATCTCCTGTACTATGGTGCTCAAATTATTTATTGATTAGAATTCATATTTGAGTTCATTCTGCCTATCATTAAACCCTCTAAAACAATGTAAAAGAATTGCTTAAACCTGGGATCATTTTCTTGGTTGAACTGTTCCTCCTGGTGATGTGAAATGATTATCTGTGTTTCTATTTTGATTTGTTCATTTACAAGTTGGGGGACAGCTGTGGAGCTCATGTCTGTTCCATAAGATGGACTTTTTTTTTCCATAAAAGTTTTAAATAGTTTGAAAACAGTAACTTGTCAATGTTGGCCAGACTTGGATGGCTGTATGTGTAGATGCTGTATATCTTGGGGGAAGTCATCCAACAATCAGCAGAATCAAATGTCATGGAGAGAAGGGGATGATAGGTATTTCCCTTGCAGCTACTTCAAAATATGAAATGTATGCTATTTTATAGGGAGCTGTGTGGTTTGGTGATTATCACAGTATGGATGAGCCTGTGCCACAGTTCATCAAAGTAAGTTTTCAATTCATTAAGTCAAATCAGATGTCTTCAAGGTTGGTCAGATCAAGGAGGTAAGGGGGAAAACTGACACACAGAGGAAAACAGGAATCTTCCGAAAGAATCCTTTCCTTTTCCTAAGGAAAACTAGTAATAGTTGACTCAAAGTTTCATGATCACTCATACTTAATGAACACCCTAGTTTCCTATGTGGCCCAGTGTAATCATGGGGACTTGCCAATCTCACGGGGAATCTTTGGGGAGAATGAAAATAGTCTCAGAAGGAAGCTGGGAGATTTAAGAAAGAATGAAAAGAGCAAAGACTCTATAAAACAATAATAATAAGGTTTGTGGGGTTTAAGCATAGAAAGAGTAAACACTAGTTACAACTGTAGTGTCTGTTTGTAGGGATCAATGATGGTAGTTTTCTAAGGTCTCTGAATTGTCTGTGAAGAGGTAATAAGAGTAACTACTTATATTAGACTTTGATAAGTTTATAATAAAATGGGAAATAAGAATAGGAGAGGAAAAAGAGAAGGGAGAAAAATAAAGAACAAATGGGAAACATAGGAAGCAGATGTTAAGATAGAAACTTAAATCCAAATTTATGAGAAATTACATTAAGTGTGACTGTTCCAATATTTCAATTAAAAGTGAAAGATTTTCAACATGGATAAGAAACCCAACTAAACACTGCTTACAAAAGACAACCTCTAACTATACAGATAAAGAGTGAAATTCAAAAGGTAGGAAAAGTACTATTCAAACACCAACAAAAGCCAGCATAGAACTTTAAGAAAGCAGAAGCAAAAGCCAACATTACAGAAAAAGGAAGACTGTTTCTTAGTGATTTGGGGGTTTTTCTTTTGTTCTATCAATAATTTATTTTGAAATATCCAAACATATAAATAAGCAGATACTAATATAATGAAAGTGATGTACCCACGACTAGCTTCAACAATGACCAATACATTCCTTTCTTGATTCACCTTTCTCACTGTCCTCTTCATACTTGTTATTTTAACATAAATCAAGACACATTGTTTTATCTGTAAATATTTCAGTATGTATCTTACTTACAGCTACTCTATCATCAGCACACACAAAAAATACAATACTTTCCCAGCACTGTAAGTCTTCCAGTCAATATTTACATTCCCCCAAATGTCTTATAAATGCTTGTCCCTCAGTGCTCTATATTTCCTATAAATTGGTGGTTAGACGATGATGATGATTAGGCAAGACTATTTCATAGTTAGTGTTAAGTACGTCCATCATAATATACACCTAGCTGTTTCTCTATCATGTTGCTAGTCTTTGATGATCATTACTTAAATCCATTCACTCATTTCAGTTATCTAATGGCACTATTTTATCACTATTTATTTGACTTGTTTATTAACTGGAAAATTCTATAAAGAAAAACTCACTTATCAAGTCTTTGCCTACTCTGAGGTACAGAGGAAATGGAAAGGTCAAGAACTTGATTCTTTCTCTTAATTCACTACTTTTCAAAACAAGTTGAATTGTTTCTTGCCTGGGGATCTTTCAAAAGTAAGTTTTGTTTATTTGCTGTTTTAGTAGTACCATTAATCATAAAGTCATGGGTTTCACCGTATTTTATATTATTCAGTCATGGTAGTTAATACTTTTTTGATACTTAAACTTTCCTATTTAGACCAGTAATACTATGCAAGCTGGCTCTGAATTATTTTTGACATAGTCTTGGTAGTCTTTGATTGCTTCTTTATTTTCTGGTATAACAAGATGTTTCAAAGAAATAAGATATTCTAAGCTAATGTGTATTTTATGCCTCAGACCTACAAATCAACCATTTTCCCAAAAAGTCCTGGTTACTTCTGGTAGGTAATGACATTTAGAGGTCACAATCTGGGCACAAGAGTGCTCGCTGCTGCTACAGGGTGGCTCATTGGCTCTTTTTAGTGGACAGAAAGAACTAAGAGTTCCATATATGTGCAAATATAAATATACATTGATATAAACACTTATGTGTTTGTCTGTATACACAATTAAAGATAAAACACCATGAAGCCCTGGCAAGACTAAAAAGGGCAAACAGTAAAAGTGAGGAAGAGGGAAAAAACAAGAGCAAGAAAGAGGAGATACAACCAACTAATGGCAGGAATGAAAAAGAGAACATTACTATATAACCTGTAGATATTATAAAAATTGTAAGAGGATATTACAAACAACTTTTTGCCATAAATTTGAAAATGTAGGTAAAATGGACTATTTATCAAAATGACAGAAGAAATACTCAGCATAGGCTCGTAACTATTAAAGAAATTGCATCCATAATTTAAATTTTTCTAAAAGAACACTCCAGAACAAATGGCATAACAGGGTAATTCTACCTAATATTTAAGGAAGAAATATATAATTCTAGCTTTCAACAAGTTCTTCCAGAAAATAGAAAAAGAAGAAACCTTTTCCAGTTCTTTTTATAAGAACAGAATGATCTTGATACCAAAACTTAACAAGAACATTATCAACAAAAAGGGAATTACAACAATCTCATTCAGCATTGATAGAAAATCATTCACAAAACATTGCCAGACAAAAATCCTGCAATATATAAGCCAGCCACCAAGTTGGATTTATTCTAGCAATGGGTAGTTCAACATTTGAAAACTAATGTTTTCCACTACCTTAATAGAATAAAAAAAGTTAAACTTTTCTCAATCTATCCAAAAAGTATTTGTAAATTTCCATTTATGATAAAAGCTCTTAGACAATAAATATATACTGGCCAAAGGATAAACAAATAAAACAAAGTAGAACCTAGAAACAGATACAGAGACCTTTGATTTATGGCAATGGTAGCACTCAAGATAGCAAAGAAAGGCAATCTTTACAAGCACTGGATCAATAGACTATACAGATGGAAAAAGTGAAAATGAAGACAACCCCTTCACCAATTTACTTTTGTAAAAATCAATCCAGGTAGATTACATATTTAACGTGAAAAGCAAACCAATAATGTAGCTTAATATCTTCAAGACTTCAGAAGGGGAGTTTTCTTAAACAGGACATAAAAATCACTAGAGAAAATTCAATTTTAACATAGCTTAATTGATCAGTAACTCTGTTCCTCAAAAGACATCATGGAGTAGGAACAACTATTTGAAACACATACAAACAAGGATTTGCATTAAGAATATATAAAGAACTGCAATTGAGTTATATTCCAGTTTAAAAATTAATAAAATCATAAAAAGTAATGTTTTGCCAAATTCAATTTTTATACTTATTTTCAAAGCAATCTATAATTTTTATTTTATTTTTACTTATAATTTTTTGTGTGTGTCTTTATAGGAATCCAGTTGGTGGAAGAACTCAGTTGGTTATTGCCACTGCAATTGCTCTTTTCCCTCTTATCTCATGGGTCTACATATATGTAAACAAGGAGATGCGGTCTTCCTGGCCAACTCACTGCAAGACAGTCATTTAAATGAAGTCAAGAATCTTGTTCTTAAAATGAATATTTTCAATTTTTTCAGCAAACATTCTTGTAGTCAGTCAGTTTCCAAGGTGTTTATGTCAGTAACTTGAGCTAATATTAGAGGTGATTTTTTTTTTTTAATTCTAAGAATTTTTTAAGGTCACCTACGACATAATGGGATGAGTAAAGATGGGGTCTGACATTTTATTCTACCATAGTATAGCAGAAATATGAATTCTAACTAAGCTTCATCCTTATCGATGAGACTTGGACAGATACATAAACCTCCTGGTGGGTATTCATCTAAAAAACAGGGTTAATAATAGATCACCTAATTACTTAAATAGTTGTAAGAATTAAACTAGATAGTATGAGAAAACTCTGAAAATATAAAGTGGTTACAAAGGCCGGCACAGGATTAAAACAAAGTGAAGTAGGGTTTGAGTAACATGATAGAAATAAAGGTCAAGAGGACATTATACCCATGCACTAACCTCATTACATCAACTGGTACACTGCTATGAACTGTACATTAAGACTCCGGAGGAATAAACTATATAAGCCATGTCTTGAAAAGAAAGTTGGATAGAAAAAAGAAAGTTGGGACCAAAAAGAAAACAAAATAGGGGATAATATTTACATTCTAAATTTAAAATGAGGTAAAAAAAAAAAATCTGTACTTTTTTAATGAATGTCAAGATAACCTTAAAACAATCGTTTTAGAGTTTTATTCTCAATTCTCCCACACAGTAGCCATAGCCAATGTTGCTATGAAATGTGGTGTGCTGACTGAGAAAGTAGTTTTAACTTTTAGAATTTCCACTTAATTTAAAAACTAATGGTCAATTCAGATATTAGAAAACTAGTATATTTGCAACAACTTGATATATTTGTAACAACTTGAGTATGTGACACTATTTCTTCAACTGCAAATTTTATGACAGTTAAGTACAGATCAGGTATTTCCAATGAAAACTTAATGTCCAAATGGGTGGACAGTTCAAGTATAAAATACACAATAGGTTTTATGACATAGTATAAAAATAATGTAAGAAAATATATTAATGTTGAAAAAATATTTTAGCATGTGTTAAAATATATTAAAATTAATTTAATGTTTCATTTGATCTTTCTACTTTATTTTTTTAACAGAGGTAATATTGCTGTATCACACTATATGATTCAGAGGTGTAGGATCACACATCTTAATGTATTTACTCTTCTAAATATGACTGGTAGCATATTTTACGTATGTGGCTCACATTATATTTCTGTTGGTCAGTGCTGTTTTAGAGCATATGCAAATTTTTAATTCACGCTAGCAGCAAAGTCCCTAGTCAAGACACTGTTTCATGAAACCTAAGAAAAAAATCCATTCAAAAAGAATTAGTAACTTCCATATGTCATCATATGAACTGTCCTACTGGACATTCATGGACAATGCTGCTGACTAATTGTTGCTTCTCTTACACACATTGTAACCCTGAAAAAAGACTGTCTCCTAAGACTCTACCCTGAGATCTGTGCCACCATAGATATGGTGGAATAAAAATTAAAAGGGGGGATTGTAACAGGGTCATCCCCAGGAAAGGGGGAGGTTCCAGGTTCCCTGCCCCACCCAAGGGAGGGTGGAGCTGAGCAGGGAAAGAAGAATCTGCAGAGGAGACTGAGGAAGGAAGGAAGCAGGATGGAGAGCCAGGAGGAGACCTGGAGGAGGCACATGGAATGGAGAGACATGTGAAGAAACTGTGTTTGCCTTTTGGTCGTGGACTGGGTGACACAAGTGTGGGTGAGACCCGTGGGGAGGTGTCAATGGCAGCTTTTATCTTGATTTTGATTTTGCTCTTTTCCTTCTGGGCTTGTCTTGTTGTTTCTGACCCTTTTCTGTGGATCCCCACTGGAAGATGCCTTACGCTTGTGGCAGGCTTTGGGGCCTTGCTCTGGGCCAATCCCATTTGGATGGAGTTTTACCCACGAGGGGACGGGTAACTTTGGGTGCTTGATTTAGAAACTAGATTCTTTGCCTTTCCTGTATTGTTTCCTAGTTGTATTGAAGTTCCTTCCCATTAAAGTCTCATATGTTTTGTGTTGATGCAGTGGATGGCAGAACCCATTTAGAATAGGCAGGTTTGCGGGGTTTGGGCTGCCCCTCTCCCTGCCCTGTAACAAAATGAGTCTGGTAGTTTGTCTCTATATTTTCATAGTTTTTAAAACAGTATTAAGTATGCTACAAATACTTCCAGTCAGAAGTTTTGTATCAAGATTAGGACAAAGGAGAAAAAAACCTGGTTGCTACTGAAGCAACTATATATTATCAACACAAATATATAGATCAACACAAATGTATAGAAAGGATTTGAGTGTTCTAGTGTACATTTAGCTTGTATGATACTTATGGCTTTTATACCCTCTTTTAGTATAACTATTAAAGTGACACACAAAGACTTACATACAAATTCTACATAACACCTACCCGGTCTCCAAGTAATGCTTGATTCTGCACTTAAAAGACAGTACTGTTCTATTTAAAAAAAAAAAAAAGAGAGTAAGATTCAATATACATTTTTACTCTATCTGCATCTCCCCCCATATAAGGTTATGAATGCTGTGAATACACATAGTTCCTTTTGTATCTCAATAAATATATAAAAAACACTACCTTTTGGGGCCTGCGTACTCAGCAGGCACACTTACATTGTGTAGTGGCATTGGATTTTTATCTCTTACTGTTTTCTAGGCCCTGAATCAAACTTTCTCTACACTTGAACAATCCCATTTCCACCTAGGAAGCATTTCTACAAGTAAGCCTTAGCACATATGACAATGGAGTTAAGCATGTCCTATTTGTAAAGGGTAAATTCATTTACCTACTGTCATCTCACACAGACCAGGCGAGCAGACACAGTGGTTCTGGGAATCCTAAGAGGATCCTCTGACTTCTCTACAGGATCTTCTTACTTACATCCTCTCAAGGGAAGCCACACATTCACCTGTGTGATGGGAACACCATTCATTCACCTGTGAAATAACTATTCATGTTTCTGGTTTACAAAATAGAAATATATGCCTATAAAAGTACAAACTTGATGGATATTCTGAGAAAAATACGTCCACAAAGTTCATTCACACATTAAGGTAAAAAGAGAAAATTCACCTGAGCTTATTTTTATTTCTTTCTTATGAATTTGAAGTACATAGTTAACATATGAATAGATTCTCCTTGTAAAAAGTAAAAATGTTCATATAAGGCTTTATAAACGCTGTTTTGAGGACTACATTTTTCCACCCTCAGTCTCTTCCTGGTTTATTTATGCCACTTGCATTCATTTTGTTTCTAATTTTCAGCATTGGATATATTATTCAAAAATGACAGAATATCATATGCACTAATGCACATTGAAGCCATGAATAAATTTTCTTATTCAAATAGAATAAACAATGAGGCTGAGGATTTAGTGGGGAGAGGGGAACAAAAACACAAATGTAAGTCATTCTCTTTCTGTAATGGTAAACAAAAGAAATCAGATTAAAAATGGAGAGCTTTATCCTTCTTGTAATTCATAATTCTGTCTGGAACTCTGCCTCTCCCTTTCAACAACATTTTGTCAGGATAGACATAAACTGTGCCAAAAGCCTGACTGTCCGGAGCTGTTTCAATAACCCCTTCTAGGTTGACGTGGTGCACACCAGAAGGATCCTCACAGTAGCCACCGTCATGAGTGTGACCAGCCAAGAAACACACCACACACTTGTGAGCCCAAATGACTGCCAAGGCGTCATTAAAATTCCAGGCCAGGCACACACTGTCAGAAGCCTCTGGGTAAATGGGAAGATGGCCTGTTATTAAAAGAAAAGAAGAATTAGAAGCCAATTAAGAAATATCAATTTCCCAAAACAAATGGCTAAAACTAGTGTTCAGGAAAAAAAAAGTGTATTATGACCCTGTTATCCAAATGACTGAAACCAGAAAGAATCCACATACCAGAAAAACTAGATAATCTACAGTCATGTCTGTGGAGCAAAGACAGAAGAGTAAGGCAAGGGAAGAGATCACTGGAGAGAGAAACCCTGAGATTTCTACAAAATGTGCAAACACCAAGGAGTTCAAGGGCTTCCTGTTCAGGAGCTCTGTGATGGTGGCCAGAAATCAGGCCAATACTGGCCCAGAATCTCATTGATTTCCTTAAATATGAGCATTACTTACACAAAGAGATGTACTCCTAATTAAAAACACATTTTAGGGATGGGCTGTGGGTTATATGTCATTTATATAAACACTCAATGCTTCGGAATTGATTTGTGCCACTTTAAACACTTCCATGAGATCAAGGTAGCTATAGTCATTTTACAGATTAAAAAACTGGTCAAAGAAGGGAACGTTTATGTGGAAGTAGAGCCAGGAGAATCTTGAATTCCTGATGCCACATCATGTATCAGGCCACAGTTTCACTCTGAAGTGCAGGTATAATACACTGGTCCTTGCTTCTTCCCATTAAATCATTTTCTTTTTTCCTCTCTAATGCTATTTATTTTTATCCTGATTTTGAACATGTTTCTCCTTATTATCTGCTAGTCTCAACACCAGCTTTTAAAGAAAGGAGGGGAGACTGTTAATTTATGTGTCTGTACACAAGAACATGCATGCACACACACACACACACACACACACACACACACTGATGACCACTTTTCAAGCTGTGATGAGGTGTATGAGTCCAAAGAGGCTGGGACTTTCCAGCTCTAGATACCATACTGGACTCATCTATCAAGTCCCTGTAGCAAATGATACAGTTAGTCATTCTGGTCTGCTTCAAACACTTGGCCTCTAGGATATCACTAATTTTTTTACTGGTGTCTCCTAGTTTTCCTCCAAACTCAATGGCCACTAATTCTCACTCTCCTTTGTGGTTCCTTATTTCCCACTGTCTTATTAGGAGTGCCTGGATGCTTGGTCCTTGAGTTTCACTTCTCTATCTGCACCAATTGGCTTGGCAACCTCTTAGTAATTTACATAGTTTTAAACATATCACATTATTTCAATTTCTATATCTATGTATCTAACTTAAACTTCTATTTTGAATTTCAGACTCACATGTCCATCCACCCTGATGTCTAACAGGTATCTGACATCTAACTTGATATTTCCAAACTTGAACTCCTGAACTCCCTTCTGCATTTTTCCATCTCAGCTAATTGCAATTCTATCCTTCCGGCTCCATGGCCAAAATTCAAGATGTAGCAAAATGACCTCTGAGTAGCCAAAATGAAAGTGGAAAAGCAAATAAAGATGAAAGAAAATGTCTATCAGTCACTTTTAAACTTTGCTAAAGAAATCTGAGGCACTCAGTTGTTAAAGGTTTACTCATTCAGTTTCTAAGCTTATAGCATGGAACAAATTTAAGAGATTGCTAATGTAGAGAGGTGCAATGACATAACTAAAAACAAATGGGAAACATGAAGAATACAGGATAGCATAGCATAGGAAAGGTGACAGGAATATAAAACATGGACTCAAGTCTGGATTCTGTCTGTAGCTGTATGATTTTAGCTATGGAGTTAAATCTTCCTGGATTCAGTTTCCTTGTCTTTAAAATGGAAAAATTTGACTATATGAATCTATAGATCCCTTTTAGCTCCAATCAAGAAGAACCCCAGTTTTTGAGACCACTTATTTTAATAGTGTCACATCATGCCCTGACCCATGAGGGGATTTTATATTTTCCAATGACACTTTGAATGACACTTGATATTCCAATGGGAGCAGATTTATTCCTCCTTCTGCATGTTTTTATCACATCAGTGGAAGATTAATAAGCAAAAACTACATTTGTAGATAATAATATAATTTTATATTTATACAATAGCCTATTATTTTGAAAGGGTTTTCATCTTTATAGCTTCATTTGATACAATAGTGAGCAACTGCAGTTTGTCAGTTGTACATTTGTTCAACACAGCTTATAGAAACAAGAGCTAGAACAGCATCCCATCCTTGTGACCTCAATCCAGTCCCCTCATGCATTATGCCGCATCAAAGAGATCCCTAAAACATGGGCTCTCACCTCAGCCTCCAAACCAAGTACACCAATCACACTGCAAATCCAAATTCAGTTCTCTGCACATGTGCACTCATGTACACACACTAATCTAAGTGTAATTTAAGCACCTTCAGGTCCTATAAACTCAGCTAGCAGTAGGTCTGTCAAAAGTGATTCTAAATGAAAATAACATAAATTGGATTTCAGTATAACCACGTGGCAGGATACAGAACTGAAATGCTCACTGCCAATTTATTGGCCTCCATCACTTGGTCCCTGGCTTCATCTACACAGCAGAAGTCTCAGGTGGCAACTGCACTGACAAGTAGGCTCTGAAGGAGTAAGACCTGGACTGAATCTCTCACTTAAATATTACTATATGAATTGATCCCATTTGGGTAAATTCTACTTTGAAACCTAAAAGGTCAACTTATAGGATGTAACATTTATCAAGATATATTTGTTATTTTATAATACTTTGCTTACACAACCTTCGATATTAATCTTATACTCAGCTTGTTTCTCAATAAAAAATTTTTATCATTCATTATGTCTATGTGGACAGCATATACACATACGTATAAAACACCTAATGCTAGAATCCTCTTTTATAATTTGATATGATTTACAAAAACAGGACAGCAAAATAACTTAGGTCACTAATGCTATATAAAAATAAAACAATTAAAAAAATTTAAATTCATCCTATAGAAAGAGCATAGCATAATACATTGTTAGTAGTCTTTCAAAAATCTAATTGTTGTCATCCTCTAAAATGCTGAAACAACCAAATCATACAAATACTTACTGACAATTACCACCTTTTCTTGGTTTGTGTCAGAGAATGTAAGAATTTTATTCAACCAGTTCAGCTGCTCTTGGCTAAATCCACCATTAAACTGGACAAACTGGGGCTCAGAAAGTCCTGAAATGAATTCAGTGAGTTAGACCCATCAAGTGTTATTTTTACCTTGATTTTAAACAGGAAACCACAAGAATTTAGAGCAACATACAAGTCACACTGTATCTTACTCTTAACATTCCTCTACTTATTACACTAGATTCCCTTTACATTAGAAATAAAATACAGATATTTGAATATGTTCACCAAGCCATTATAAAATCGTCCTGTCCCACTGGCTCTTTTCTGCACTCAAGACTGGCAAAATCTTACTTTCCTTAGCCCCTCTCAGCTGTATCCCCTCTGTCTTGAATACTGTCCCTGTGCCTTCCCAAGGGCATTTAGGTTTCGGTGTAAATATTTTTTCTCCTTGGAGAGGCTATCGCCTACCACCTAAAATAAAACAGTCCCCCATTCCTGTTCTGTATTATTATTCTGTATTTTCTTGGTAACATTATGACTGTGAATATAATCTTGTTTCTTAGATTAGTTGACCTGATTTTTGTCAGTATTGCCTACAGCTTCTGCATAGGTAGTCAAGGTCTAGAATAGGCATTTAGGTATCTGTTAACTTCTCAATCAACAGCAGCCAATCAATCTACTTGCCATGAGGCTTGTGAGAAATCCTGACCCTGAACAACAACGACAGCATAGTTTTACCTTAATCGTTCATCTTTCAGCTGAACAAAAGGTAGCTGAAGAATTTAAAGACTATGTATTAGGTTTTCAGCTCAAAGGAATAATTCACCTTGAGGACTATTCAATTCTGTATTTGGATTATGCTCCATTAGTATCTTCAGACACTCCTGGTATTTTGGAGAAGATTGATCCAAGCCCAAGACACTCAAGTCATAAGCATCCAGCAAAATGAACCGGAATTTAGGAAATGGTGTGAAATGGTAAGCATAGTAGTTCTCGGAAGGCACGGTCTCAGGATGTTGTACAATCTGGTCTTCTAGAAACTTTGTGTTGAGTTTAGAGTTTGTTAAATAATCTCTGCTAAAATTATAGAATTCATGATTTCCCCAAGTATGATGAACAGGGATTTTGAGTGTTTGGAACGTGTTCATAACAACTTCCAGTGACTTTTCTGATGTATTATGCTGTGCATTAAATCCATCAATGATATCTCCAAGCTGAAGCACACAACAAGGTGGGCTGCTTTCTTGATTCCAGTCTTCAATAGCACCCTGCAAATGAAGAAGACTATGTCTGTAGTATCTCCGTCTGGTTCCTTGGAAATTGTATCCATCTTCTAAATCAGCGTATTGAATATCTGCTATGACTCCAAAGGAGAAAAGAAGGTCTGAGTTCTCATTTTCGGTTCCAGGATTGGTTTTATCATCCATAACCTCCAAATTGGTTTCCAGATAAACTGAAATTAAAAGACAACTAAGTTATAAACAAGTTAGTTATCATTATGAACTGAAAAGAAAACATAAAATGAAGGTTAAGCTTAAAAGTTAATTTCCGAGGTCGTGTGGTATAAAGAAAAGTACATGGGCTTAAGTGTCTGATGGTCTTAGATCAGAATTACTGAATTCTCTGAAGACTTCAGTTTTTGCACCAGAAAAATAGATGACAATTCCTATCTTTCAGAAGAGCAACAACTTACAAAAGAATATCATCCTGTGAATGAACAGGCATTCTAAATTTAGTAAACTCAAGTTTGAATCTGGTAAAACTTTTAACTTTTAAGAAACAAGCACTAGTTTTAAACATACACATACACTCACTTTCTTCCATAAACATCAAAATAATTTTATCAAAACTTCAAAAATTTTTTTTGACAGTTGTATGCTACATTCATCCATTGCACCTTATATACTAAGATTCCCATTATGCCTTATTTTGTGTCAGGGTGGATTATTTCTCATTGTTGGTGAGTAGATTACTTGTGATAAGTTTCTCATACATTACATCTGGAATAAGAAGGGAAAAATGGTAAAGATAAGAGGATAACTTTAAACAAACAAACAAAAATCCACCACAAAAACTGTCAATATTTTCTTTTCTCTGAGTAGTAGTGACTGTCTTCAATAGTTGCATTTGAATTTAAACCAGCATTTTTTACACTTTTTAAGATTTTTTTTATATTCCCCATATAACTGCACCCCCCTTATTTTGACCCCAATCCCTCCTCTCCCCACCGCCCCCCCCATAGTGTGTCTCAGGTTTATAGTTGCTTGTTGATTTTGATTTTTTCTTTATTATAGTTATTCTTGAATCAGCATTTTTAAACCTACAACCAAAATAGAAAATATGTAATCTTTTCTTCTTACACATGATCTGTGCCCTGCTATTCTTTAGGGAAGTAACAATTTACAAAAGGGTAATTTATCCCATGAATGAACAAGCATTAAGTGGCCAAGAAGAGCAACTACTATTTTACTAGATTGTTTACAATCTAAATTTATAAATCTTTTCATTCATTTGGAATTGCTAAAATTACTTTCAGACTACTGGTCTTCAATCATTGTCTAATAAACCTACAGATTTCTTTTCAAGCCCCTGCAGATACATGAAATCCCGTCAAGGCACTCCCATCAGAGGTGGAGGTGCCAAGTCCATAACTAGCAGTAAGGATGAGACTTCAGTTTGACTTTATGAGAATTAGGAGCTTCTTTTCATTCTAAAACTTGGCTCTAATGTCAGACCTTCTATCTGATCCCCACAGTTATGAGCTTCAGCTACTTTCTTTTCTCCCTTAATCTGGATACAATTAGCCCTAAAACAGATAAAACAGTAGCAAGAAGAGGTAGAAATCCTGAAAAAAGCTTGGTGTTCTTATACTTTTCCTTTTCCTTTTCATTTCTTTATTTCTTCCTGTAGTCCCCATCTGAAAATCCCCCTAGATATCAATCAAGGCTGTTGATGTGAATGAGGGGTGGTACAGAAAAGATAATCTGATTTGAAAGGTGAAGAACTCAGACACAATAAATGCAAAATTCACCTAAATCAGCTGAAACTCTCTAATTTTAATAGGCTTCTAATATTTGCAATTCCAGTATTTAACTTCATATTTAATAAGAGAATCAAACCAGGAGCTTCTGTTTGGGGAATGCTTTTATCTCCTGCCAATCAAGCTTTTATCTTTAAACTCAGAGCCTGTACAGTGATAATAAGTACTGTGGATAAAATGCACTAAAATAGGTCCCAATTAATTTGATGCTGTCTAGTAGACAGCTATTATTTTTGCTTACTCAATATTCATTTCATGTTCGTCTGGAAACAGTGCCCCAAAGTCTTTTCAGGCAAGTCCCCAATTTCTCATTACCAGTTCCTGTGATTTATCCTTCACTCCCTGGCTGGGGAAGGGGAGAGTCAGTCACAAGATCCACGCCTGGCCTATAACACCCCAATTTCCCTCTGAAGGGTAGGCATGTAACCCAAGATCAGTCAAAAAGCATCCATCCTGGGACATTTGCTGGAATTACTCACAATGCTGAAACTATTTCCATTGAGCTGATAACTGAGACTGGAGTTGTTAGTGAAATGTTAACTGAGAAGAAACCCAACCCAGAAATATGCTATCTGAATAATGGAAAAAAGTCCTAGAAACTCCGGATCCCCCTCTCCCTCCTAAAACTAGTCCTGGCCATTTAGTTATATCGGCCAATAAATTCTCCTTTGAGTTTAAAGCCAAACTGAACTGGCTTTAAGATTTCTGTCACACGATACCAGTGAGCAGGGAATGACTCTCTTGACCAACTCAGAGGCTTTTTTTTTATGGCTCAGGGAGATGCCAAGGAGTTTATACAGAACAATCTCCATGGACACAGATCAAAAACTAAAGACACCTCAAGTGGGGATATTTAGAATTAACAAGCATGTTAATGTTGCATGACTTTTTCAAAATAATCCCCCAAATAAATACATACACAAAAATGAGTAGATGATAATAATTGTTGAAGGTAATAATGGACTTAGGAGGTTTACTTTCTGTTTTTCTGTTTTTAATGGCCTATTATACAGTTTTATAAAAAGCCTTCTAAAGTTTAGAGAAAATAAAGTTGGGCAGAATTAGGGAAATACTTTGTTTTTGAAAAGAAAGGAAACTAGCAAGTTTTTAGTAAAAATTTAGTGTTCTTAAAGTTGTACAATTTATTATATGTTAAGATATCTAACTTTTAGTTAAGAGGTATTATGATAAACTGATGAAAGCTATCAAATTTAGGATGGTTATGGCTTTGTCAATGGAAAGTACCTGTTCCATTTCTGCATAAGTTTTTCTTCCTTGATGGTCTTCTAACTCCACTTTTTAATTTGTTTCATGCTAGAGGACAACTTTACTGCGGTAGTCATACCAGCTCACAAACACCATTGGGCCATGGGTTTCTGCTTAGTTAGACCCAGTGATAAAATTCATGTAAAAACAGGATCTGAGGTTAAAGAAGAGATTTAGGTGACTTCTTCCTTTTTCTGCATTGTGCAAACCCGTCAAGGGAGAAAGGGTTGGGTGTAAAGTGTGCACACACAAGTTAATTTCATTTCACAAGGAATGAAAACTTGCAAATGCTGTCAGCCACATTAGGATGGGGTATTGGGGTATCATTTAATAAGTTTAAAATCTAAGGCCCCACCCCTTGCACTGCAGGAAGGTTTGGGAGGCTTGGATAAAGGGAATTGATAAGGTTGCTATGGAAATTAGGCCTTAAGACTGACCACATTGCCCTAAAATAGGGAAGCAGGGCCAGAACACATTCGGTGTCAAAGGTCAAAGCACAAGATTAGACATCCCAGCACTAACTGTTCCAAACCAACTCTCCAATCACAAATAGTCTGTGGAAACAGGTTATAAAAGGGAGCACCAAACATAAGTGAACAGACGTTCTTTTGAATCAATGTTTTTGTGTCCTTTGGGTAGATCCCTAGGAGTGGAATTGCCAGGTCATATGGTAGCTCCATTTTTAGTAGACTGAAGAACCTTCAGCCAGCTCTCCATAGTGGTTGGACCAGTTTGCACTCCCACCAGCAATGTAGGAGAGTTCCTTTTTCACCACATCCTCTCCAACATTTGTTGTTGCTTTTTCTTTTTATATGTGCCATTCTTACCGGTGTAAGGTGGTATCTCAGTGTGGTTTTAATTTGCATTTCCCTGTTTATCAGGGATGTTGAACATTTTTTCATATGCCTGTTGACCATTTGCATTTCCTCTTTGGAGAAAAGTCTTTTAAGTTCTTCTGCCCATTTTACTGCAGCACTATTTACAATAAGTAAAACCTGGCAACAATCCAAATGCCCAAAAATGGATGACTGGATCAAGAAGATGTGGCATATATACACAACGGAAAACTCATGCCATTCGCCGCAACGTGGATGGAACTAGAAGGAATTATGCTCAGGGAAATAAGCCAGAAGGAAGAAGAAAAATATCGGATGGTTTCACTTATAGCAGGAATATCGGGGAACCAAATAAGACATCAGTGTAAAAAAAATAATAACAGTACAAAACACAACAAAGCAAAAACGGACAATTATAAATCAGAGACATCCTGCAAGGGAGCAGGAGGGAGAGGGGTGAGAGGGAGGGAGGGAGGAGCACAGGGGATTGTGATGGTGCACGGGTGCACTGGTGAATGAAACTCTATGGGGACTACACCTGAGGGGTGGAGGGAAGCAAAAATTGTTTAAAAACGAACAAGGATGTAAACAATTTTTAAAAATTTTTTTTAAAAGATAAAAAAAAAGTCAAGCCACAAAGAAAAAAAAAAAAAAAAAAAAGGAGCACCAAACACTTCTTCCAGACAGACGTCTTGCTTCTCTTAGCAGTGTATTTCAATAAATCGCCCTTTTCTGTTGGGTGATTTCTTTCACCCCTGCACCTCCTGCCTCGCCCCAGTCTTCTCCCCGCAACATGGGGTTGTACTCAAACAAGACAGGCAGTCCCAAATGAGGAACGCCACATACTTTAAGCCACGAAACTGAAAAGGGCTGGTGCCCGGAGAGACAAGGGTTAAGGAAAGGAATCTGACTGGTTACACACCACTCCCAACAGTGCTGCCGTCTAACAGCAATGACACAAGAGCCGGGCGCTTCAGTCACATTCACCCGCCCATTGCCCCCCTAGCCTTTCAACTGACCCCAAGTCAAGAGTCAAGTGCAATGTGTCCGTGTGGAGACGAAAGAGGCCGCCAACCGCGCAGCTCCCCGCGGCCGCCCTCCACACTGGGCCCACACTGGGCGCCGGTCTGGGGGCCGCGTTTCCCCTCCAGAGCCCTCGAGGGGGAGCGGCAGTCCCCCAAGCTGCGATCGGGGGGCGGTATGGGGGGGGCCTCAGCCATCAGGACCCCGGCCCAGACCCAGCGGCGCACACCGAACCCCGAGGCGGCTCCCTTCTCCAGAGCCTGCCGCCCATCCCCGCCAGAGCGGGCGGAACCCGCCTCCTACCGCGAGGACCCACCTACCGCGCGCCGGCTCCAGAGCTACCCGCTCCGGGACGACCAGCCCGGCGGCCGCGCACCATCGAGCGGAGCGAGTAGGGCGAGCAGAGCGGCTCCCCTACTTCCGGGGGAGCGGCCACGGCGCCGGAAGTCCGGGGGCGGGCCCAAGGAGGCGCGGTCCGTAGCTCATGGCGGGCCGGGTGCTGGGGCTCGCACAGGTCATGCGGCCTCCGGGCGTTCTGCTTTGGCGTCTCCTGCCTGGGGTCCCCGCGGGAGGAGCTGCGAGGGTCTGGCGGGGCCAGCTCTGCGCGCGGCCAGCGGAGGGGTGGCGGCCCTCGGCGCCCGCTGGCTGCTGCTGCCGGGGGAGGCGGCTGTTCAGCGCGGCGTTGCCGCCACCGCCGGGGCCGTCCGGCTCGGACCCGAAGGACCGCAGAGACCCGACACGCCCCTCGAAGCCGGGGGTGAGTCCTTGGTGTGCTCGCTGCGGCGGTCAGACAGCCCCGGGCCCTGCCCACGCCAGTCGGGCATAACTTCAGAAGCCACGCGACTTAGCCTGAGGTTGTCCTCGGTCACAGCCTCAGCCCTGGGCCCCTCGTCTTGCCGGAAGGCCCGGCCTCCAAGACAGTGCCTGGAAGCCGCCCTCTCTCCGCGAGGTTTGCTTCTCGGGCTTGGATTTTAGCTCGCTTTTGCTCTTGCCTGAAAACTATGTTTTCTTGGAGGCCTCAACCTTAAGTTTATCTTAAGGCTGAGGAGTCAGCATTCTTAGATTTCGGTCACTTGACACCCCCGGTGGTCGACTTCTTATCGACTTATCTGCTTGGAATTTGAAAAAGACTACACAGAAATAACTTGATGCAGTTTTCACGAAACGACCCTTTTAGATGTCTCTTCTGCCGCCTTTGTTACTTGTCCAAGTCAGCGTTGGCTTTAGCGCTTGAATTGAATCGGTCTTACTTATATGCTGTATCAGCACAAGCAGGAAATGAACGTGTTTTTATCACCAGTTGGAGTCAGGGTAGAAACAGTCATGGCACTTGGCCTTTGGGTCGTTTTTCACATGAAAGGAAAATGACCTAAGGGACTTTGTCTTGAAAATGCCTTTGTGTTGTCTGTGTTAGGAACAGAGATTTAACTGCATCCATTCAAATTACATTGAGGTTACCTCATAACATTAAACATTCTGCACGTTTAGAGCGTGGCCTGCCCATGGTTATATGTATTAAAGGCTACTAATAATTTAGCATGTTTAAATGTTTGGGCCTTACCAGTATTTTTCTTTTTGAAATCTCTGCCCCAGTAGCCTGTTTCCTGGAAGTCTTTAGCATTCACATTTGCTGTTGGTGGAGCTTTGTTGGCTGGGATGAAGTACTTCAAGAAAGAAAAGACAGAGAGTAAGTAGATGTCATCTTGGTCAGCTTTGAATAAAATTCTTTCTGGCTGAAGACTAGAACCTTTCAGTTTTAAATTTTGAAACAGTTTTAGATTTACCAAAGAGCTGTAAAAATAACAGATAACATAGAGAATTCCCATTAACTTTCACTTAGTTCTCCCTAACATTCACATTTTATACAATCATGGTTCATTTATCAAAAATCAGAAATTAAAATAGGTACAATACTATTAACTAAACTACCAACTTTCTTTTAATTGCACCTGTTTTTGTGTCCATGTTTTTTATCTATTCCGGGATCCCATCCCAGATCCTACTGTCTAACAATGTTAATAAGAAATACATGACCTGATTCTCTTTTGATGCCATTATACAAAAGATAAATTTTGTCTATCTTTAAATCTAGGCATGAGAGTTCATAGGCTTTAGAACTTTAGCACTATAAGAAGATCCATATTGATATATAGACATTTTTATTATATAACAAGTAGTATTCATATATATTCTGATAAGCAGTTATGTTCTTTGAGTTTCGCAAAGAAAACTGAGAAGCTAGGAAAGCAGTGGTAGAAATAGCTCTGGAATATGCAAGCCTCTTTTGACTTAGTTTAGAAGTTCACTTGTAATAGCATTTGTTTTATAAAAATTATGAAACAATATTAAAAATGTTTCTAAAGCATTTGATAATATGCTTCATCATCTCCAAATACTTTATTGTATATTTCTTACAAAGAACTTTCTCCACTATAACCACAATTAATCAAGATCAGAAAATTAACAATGATATGCTACTACCATTCATTCTTCAGACCCCAGGCAAGGGGTCTGCAATTTGATGCCCTTTATAGCAGAAAGATCCAGTTCAGAACCACACCTCCTGCCGAGTTGTCTGTGTTCAGTTTGTAATAGCATCTCAGTCTTTATGTAACTTTATGACCTAGACAATTCTGAAGATTACAGGCAAGTATTTTGTAGAATGTCCCTTAGTTTAAGTTTGCCTCATATTAAGATTCAGGTTGTCCATTTTTGGCAGCAATAGTCCCTATATGGTACTGTGTTCTCATAGCACATATAGATGCCACATGATTTCAGTTGGTCCCATTACTGATTATGTTCAGTTTGATCATTTGATTAAGATCGTGTCTCTCAGGCTTCTGCGCTGAAAATGTAATATGTATTTTGTGATGTATATTTACACATGTAAATATTCTGTACAACTTATGCACAGAAACACTCTGTTCCCTATCAAACTCAATTTTATATTGAGATAGACTTGTGATTTCCTGTATAGTTGATGAGTTGTTATACAGTATCTTTATTTGTATACTCAAAGTATTCCAGGTTGGTCAGGGGGAGCCCATTGAAAAGGCTTGTTTCCACTGAATATGTCTCTAGTATTCTTTGAGTTAATTATCGCACAAAATGTTCCAAGCTCATCTGCTATTTCTGCCCCAACCCTGATATTACCATTTCTCTAAAAAGCCCTATTTCCTTGTAGTGGGGGGTGATATTTATTTATTTTTAAAGATTTGTTTATTTACTCATAGAACAGGCCAGAGGTACAGGGGGTGAGAGGATTCACCAGAGACAGAGTGGGGAGCAGAATAGGCAGACCTACTGAAATACACTGCTGAGGGGAGCAGCAGGTGAGACAGGAGAGGTCTGTTGCGCCATATGTGGGGTAGCTCCCTGGCAGGGGATCAAACTCAGGCCATCATGGTGGGCCTTTGCAGTGGTAGTGCTGAAACTTCACCCCTAGGCCATCATGGAAGCCCAGGACAATATTTAGAAGTTAGGCTAGGAGCTCAGTGTTCCTGGGTCCTTTCAATGGACAGAGTTAGGAAATAGATGTATGTATTTATATTATTTCTGTATCTATATATATTGAAACCATAAGTTTATACTGCTATCTCCAGTTTCTTTCCAGTATCGCAGGATTCATTTAGTTTTCTCTTTCCATTGTTTTAGCTCCTTTTCTATGTATAACTCTTATCTAGAATGTCTCTACTTATTTGATCAAGCCCCCGTGTGTTACTAAGTTACTGTCATTGCTTTTCCTCCCCATACAGCTGCCTTTTCAGCTGACTGACTCCCAAAACCTCCCTTCTCTCCCCCACCCACTTGGCTCAAAGCATCTGCTCTGCTGTGCCCTCTCCCAGTCCCATCCCGGCCATACCTGATGGCTTAACATCAAATTGTGAAACAGGAGGAAATATTTTTACCACTTTTTTCTTACAGTCCTTACCTACACAGCATAGCATTTAATTCAATTTTGTTTTGTTGTTTTGTGCTGTTTTTCTTCCATGGATTTTTACACTTCTTAAAGGCTGAGACTGTTCTACATTTTGTACCCCACCCCTTCAGTCATTCACATAGCATTGACAGATCAGTTATTCGTGATATATTGGCATGTATCAGGCATTTGAGTACTTGTGGTTAGATTGACTTTTTTTTTTTTTTTTTTTTTTTTTTTTTTTTTTTTTTTTGGGTGCGTGTTTGTATCTCTAAGAGCTAGAGAAGCAACGGCAGCGAAGCATTGGAAAGCCTTTACTTGGGGGCCCATTTTCCCTCACAACTCATGTTGGAGAGCCCAAAACGGATAAAGACTACCTGGGTCAATGGGTATTGATTTACTTTGGTTTTACTCATTGTCCTGATGTCTGTCCAGAAGAACTGGAAAAAATGATTCAAGTGGTGGATGAAATAGGTAAGAAAGCTAATTAGAAAAAGTTTGTTTACTTAATGTCACTATACTTTCACATTCTTATATTACTGTTAGACTGTTTTGTTCCTTTGATTCTCTGACCATATTCACCAAAGGAAGCTTATTTTGATAATAAATATTAGATTGCTTAAAAGACATTAGTATGGTCTGGTCTCCCTTAACATTTTGACCCTTCCATCCCTCACACTGCTGTGACTTTGATAGTTAGACTAGGAAATGTCTTTTCTAGTTTATGATACACATAATCTAGTCAATGTGTGGCATTTGTTAGTAGCAATGAGAGTGAATAGTTTACCTTGCCCATGGATTAGAGTGGACGAGAAGAGGGCAATAACAATTTCTGTATATATTAGATTGGACTACGAGGCAAAACCTCCACATGATATGATCCAGGCAATGATACGTATGATCTGGAGCAGGTATTTGATAGGTTAGGTGACTTGATTCCTCCACAGATACATGGATCTGCTCCTCCCAGAAGCTGTCACTTCCCCTTCCCCATCATCTCACATCAATGTTAGATGTCCCTGTATGTTTCCTGAACACCTTTTCTATAGCAGTCTGACAGTTGTAATGGCTAGTTTTCTTTGTCTTGTCCCTTAAAGTGTGAATACTGACTAACTTAAACTTTCTTTCAGATAGTATTCCAACGCTGCCAAATTTAACCCCACTTTTCATCACTATTGACCCAGAGAGAGACACAAAAGAAGCCATCGCAAATTATGTGAAAGGTGTGTTTGATTAATCCCTGTATCTGTTTAGCTCTTAGAGTCTTTGGAAGGTCATCTTATTTGAACCTTATAATACCCTATGAAACAAGAAAACAAAAAAGTCAAGCAAAAAGTAGGGCTCAGAGTTGTGACTGTGGCTAGTAAATAAATAAGAAACAGGTTTCTCAATTCCTGGTGCAGTGCACTTTTTCTTTTTGTCACAGAGGAATAATTGATATCAACAAAGTTAATAGAGCCTTGAATTGAGAGTAAGGATACATCGCTTCCAATTCCAACTCTGCCTCATTCTCTCCTTTGTAAAATTAAGGTAAACGCATATCATGGGAGTATGTACAGTGAGGGATTAAGATAAAAGTTAATGGAAGCACATTTTGAACTCAGCATGTATTTCATAAATCCAGAACATTTATTATAGAGACACATTTATAAGTATTAAATAATTTCAGTTCAAATGTCTCAATATGCAGGCTAAAAGCTATCCTAAGATACTGTAAACTTTGATAGAATTAAGGGTGAATACTTACTTTCTTATAAGTGTGCAAGTTGCTTAATTTTTTTGGGTTCAAGTTTCTTCGCCCTAAAAATGTGATGAAAATAAAAATCTGGTCAGGTGAGCTTTGTTGACTCTATGTTAGTGTCTGAAACACTGGTGTTTAAAAATCAGGAATTTGAAGTTTAATTATGGTGAGATTGATTTAAGCTACTGGTCAGAAAGACTGATAGTTTTATATTTTCATTTTATAACAAAACGTAATGCATAGCCTCCAAAACTGAAATTCCTTAACAATGTATATTTTTTTGAATGTCTTCTTTCAGCATGAGTAGTTTGAGGTTCATATTGTGACATGATTCAGTAGTTCATTCATTTTTATTGCTGAATAGTATTCCATTGATGGGCATTCGAATTATTTCCAAAACACTGAGGTTGTGGCTATTACAAATAAAGCTGCTAAGAGCATTCATACAAGTCTTTATATGGACACATACTTTCATTTCTCCTGAGTAAGTAGGTAGGAGTGGAGTGATTGGATCATATGGAAAAGTCTGTTTAACTTTTTAAGAAACTGACAGACTGTTTTCCAAAGTGGTTGTAGATTTTTACATTTGGACTAGAGTATTTTGGATTCTTCATATCCTCATCATACTTAATATGGTTAACCCTTACATTTTAACTACTTAAATTAAATTTAGTGATTTCTCTTTGTGGTTTTGATATGCATTTCCCTAACAACTTAAGGTTAAGCATCTTTTTATTTTCTTATCTGCCATTTCTGTCTTTGGTGAAATATCTCTTTACATCCTTTGCCCATTTTTTATGGGGCTGTTTGTTTTATTTTTATTTGTTTATATTCCTGGTAACAAGTCTTTTATCAGGTGTACAGTTTGCAGATACTTTCTCCTAGTCTGTGGCTTGTCATTCCATGTCTTTTGAAGAACAATTTTGATGAAGTTTATTAATTCTTTTAGAGATAATGCTTTCATTTTCATATGTAAGGTATCTTTGCCTAACCCAAGATTACAAAGACTTATGCATTCTCCTTGAAGTTTTATTAGAGTTTTTATTATATATAAGTAGAATTTGTATCTACATTGCAGTTTGTCAGAAATTTGGACAATAGATTAATTCCTTCCTAAGGCAATAAAAGGTAGTTATAACTCATTGGGAGATAAGTCACCTCCTTTTAAGTGTGTTTTGCACTGGCAGTTATTTATAATCACATATTCACTAGACCATAAATACCCCCAAATGAGTGGACATCTGAGTTGCTATACCTAACTGAAATACCGTCATCCTCTGGAATTTTCTTCAACAACACAGACAAAGTGATTGATGTAATTGTTTTCATCTTTTAAGGAGATTTAAAAACATTTATGTTGATATTTAGGAATTTGTTGAAATTTTGACAAAGAAAAGGTTTGGATGTACAACAAATTCAGGTTTTATTTACCTTCTTGTTTACTTAGTGGAAAAGAAAGACAAGCCATCTTGCCTTTTCCATACCTGAAATATTTGTCAATTTCAAATGAATTATTAGTTGAAGGAATGAATATAGACTTTCTTTACCTTCAGAAGAAGATAATGATGTTAAAAGTTGTATTCTTGTCTTAGTAGTCTGATGAATCTAGATGTTTTGAGTGACTTCCACCAGCTTGCTTACATAAATTCCAAACCTTAATAGTAAATACAAGCAATGAGATTATTTACTGGAAAGTAATGAACTAATGACCTCCAAAACTAATGACCAAAAGTAATGACTAATGACTAATGAACTAAGACCAAGTGTGAACTAATTGTGAAACAAACTTCTTTTTTCTTATGATACAATGAAAGAGTGTAATATTTAATGTATGGCAATATTTTTAAACATCAGCAATATCTCTTAAGTATGTGAAAACAAATCACATTTTAAATTGTGGCTTAAATAATTAGAATATAAATCATCACTGGGTTGTCATAGAAGAATTTGTATTATATAGTAAAAAGAACCAAAATGTTTATTTCATTGATTTTTCTCTATTTCCTGTTTTCAGTTTCATTGGTTTCTGCTCTGATTTAGTTCTTCTGCTAACTTTGAATTTAATTTGCTCCTTTTTTAGTTTCTTATGATAGGAACTTAGATATTGATTTTAGATCTTCTTTCCTAATATATATAGCATTCAAAGCTATAAATTTTCCTCTAAGCTCTGCATTTTCTGCATCACAAATTTTAATAAGTCATTTATTTATGTTCAAAATGTTTTAAAATTTCTTTTGAGATTTCTTCTCTGACTTGTAATGTGTGGAAGTGTGTTTCTTCACATATTTCAGGATTTTCCAGATCTTTTTGTTACTGATTTTTAGTTTGACTCCATTGTAGTCTGAGAGCAGACATTATTTGATTTCTAATCTTTTAAATTTCTCAAGGTTTGTTGTATGGCCCAGGTTTGCTGTTTGTAGTCTGTTTTGGTTACAAAGAGGGATTTTCATTTGTTCTATGTGAATCTCTTTTCCTTCATCATGAAAAAATGTTTAGGGACTCACAGGACTGCTTTACAGATGGTACTGTTTTTTGAATTGGGGTTGATTGTTTTGCTTCTCATTTTTCACTGTCATTCTCAAATTCATTTGTTTAGAATTTTCTCCCAAACTTGTTGGCTTGACTGGCACAAAAGAAGAGATTGATCGAGTGGCCAGAGCATACAGAGTATATTATAGCCCTGGCCCCAAGGATGAAGATGAGGACTATATAGTAAGTAAATGCTCAGGTCTCAACCTTCGGGGCAGCTCCCAGACTTTCATGTAACTTTGATTACTGGCTTTAGAGATGCCAGAAATTCTGACTTTGTTGCAAATTGGAAATATTTCAAAGGACAGCAGAAATAGGTGTTTGTAACAGGTGCTTATTTAACATATATTCACTCTTTTCATAAGTTAATTTCCTGTTTTTCTCTTCTAGTGACACATAAAATCAGTGGTATCTAAGATTAAATAAAATATGACATTGGATAACATGTTGAAAATAAAAGGAGCTATCATTTTGGGGCAAAGCCCATTTTATTTTTAAAATATTGTATCGTTTCTCTTTGTGTGCCTAATGAAGAGGTGTAAAATAAGCTTCTTTTGAGAAATAGTGGTATGTCACAGGGGACTACATTTTAGGATTGAATAGGAATTGTAAAAGCAAGAGAAAGGATGAAAGTTAGAAGAAAGTAGACTTTTCTAAGGTTTACTTTATCAGTACTATATGCTTTGCACAATTAGGTGTTTTGATTTTTTTTTTTTTTTAAGAATTCTGTTAAGTTTTTCTTCAGCTTTTACATTAAAGAGCTGTTTCTATATCCATCAACACTGCCCAAACAGTCCTAGGCTAATGCCCTAGTTTCTGTGTTTCTTTTCTTATCAGCGATTTCACATGAAGCACCAATGACGGGCATAGCATCACCCCTACCCACCCAGTTTTCTTCTCAATGTGGACATTTTTCCAATGTCCACATTGAGTTGACATTAGTTCAGTACTATTTTACTTTTTCCCCTTTATTGTCACATTTTGTTTTTTCTATGATGTTGGTTGACCATACTGTACTTTAGTTTGGACAGAGTGATTAGTCATGAGTCTTTGCAGCTACAAAGCCACTTTTACAAAAAGATAGCCAGAATCTAAGTATTTCCAGCTACCATGGTCAGTTCCCAAGAGCCATGTGCAAAAGGGACATCTCACTGCAGTGCTTTGTTTATGGCCCACTGTGGTCTCCATCACCTTTGAACTTGGAGCACGTTGTGTGCCCATCTGGTCTGTGATATAAATTAAAAATAGATTTCTGAGCCCCTTTGCCTTAAACCCGCACAGTAATCTTATTTCCAACTCCGATGCCTCATAGACTTAGGAGAAACTTGAATTTATGAGAGAAAAAGATTTAAAAAAGAAAACAAGCATTTTGCTGTAAGCCTTAAATTTAAGGAAAGTAGACCTTATTCTGGTTTCCTCCTCTTGTTGCATCAGCAACATGAGAAAATGAGAGAACAGAGGAGTGCCTGCCTGAGAGAGGAGGTCTTGGTATTCTTTCTTAGAAGAGAGTTAATTGGTTTTGAGCTTAAGTATGATTTAGCAGGAGCTGGTGAGTTAATTAGTCTGACTTATATACCATGGTAAACCATGTATCATTTCTTCGTCTTGTGTTTATAGCTCACAACTCGAAAGTCAGAAAGATTTTACGAATAAAGTCAAACAACCTGTAAAACTCAATTAAAAATTCAGCTGATACGATAAGAGATACTTTGTGTAAGTTAAAGCAGTGTTCTCACCACGGGAGTGTGGTTTGGGTCATCTGCCACTAGATGCCCAACTATACTGTCAGCTGCCACTCTGTTTTTTTGTTTGTTTGTTTGTTTTAATTTAAAGTACTTTGAGGTGTTAAATCTCTTGCTGCTACAGCCTGAGTTAGATCCCCACCAAGTAGCTTACCTACATATGGCGCAACACTCCCTCAGCAGTATATTTCAGTAGATCTGCCTGTTCTGCTCCCCACTCTATCTCTGGTGAATCCTCTCACCCCCCCACACCTCTGGCCTCCACTCCAGTTCTTGTATGCATAAATAAATAAAAATAAATCAATCTTTAAAGTACTTTGAAACCTTTGATGTGTAGTCTATCTTGACTGGTTGGTCTTGACTTAGCAAGAATGAATTATTTTCCTCTTGTCTGCCTATACCTAGTAGTGTATAGTTATGTACCAGCAAGATCATAAACATCAAACAGGTTTGGTCACTGAGATTTGTCCTCAGTTATAAAAGAGTCATATGGAAAATTCAGAATATGGACACTTCTTTTTTTAACCTCAAAAATTAAAATGCAAATATTTTAGTCCTATGAAGACCTTTTAGACCCCTGGAATACATCCTGTACCCTATTTTGAGAAATACTGATCTTGCTGCCATAAAAATTTGACCTTTTGGTGTGAGTTCTTTGGTATACATGAGCTAAATTAACCAATAGGGGGAGACACTCTCCAGCTTTTTAGGTTTTTTCATTAGTATGACTTCTGTCCCTTGAGGTCACAGATTTTCATTCACAAGATGGTATGGGAAACTTCTATTAAAATTTAAGGACCTGCAAAGAATGAGGAAGTACCTCAAAGGTTGAGATGTAATGGAGTGAGGTTTCTTAATCTCAGGCAACAACAATTAAAGATAAGTTTTTTGACTTTAAATACTGGAGCAATTTTCAGACTGATACAGTATGTGTGAAGTGGGTGTGCCAGACATGTGAGTTGTTTCCTTTGAAAGCTAAATGTGCACATCATTGTATTTTTATGTATATACTTAAAAATATACATATGCATATGTATATACACTATTACATTGTTACATAAATATTAATTAGAAAATACTTTTGAAAAAGAATACAAGTAAATGGCTTTCAAACCTAAAAAAATTCCCAGTTTATTTATAGTGAGAGATGTAAATTATATAATATGCCATTTTTCACCTTTTAGATCACAAAGGTAAAAATTTGAAATGTATTGTCAAAATAGATAATAATTTGGGAAAACGGGAAATGCACTGTTGGAGTGAGTTGTAACATAAGGTACTTTCGTGCATTGTTGATAGGAATTAAACTGATACACCCTCAACTGAGGGCAGTTTGTCAGTACCTATCAACATGTGAAGTGGAATACTTTTTAGGTTACAGATTCTAATTCTTGAAATTCTTCCTACAATATTGTTTGTAAAGAAAAAAGACTGAAGTCCAAGCAATCAATTTTTAGCAGGCTGCTATATATATACTGATAAGAGAACAGTGTCCAGTATATTGTTAAAGAAGAAGTAGATGCATGTGTACATATACATACCCCCCACACACAAATAAATGCAGAGATTTTCTCTGGAAGAATACAGAAGAAACTAGTGGCTCCCTCTGAGGAGGCGAACTGAGGGATTCTCAGAATCTGGAAGGAGGAAGGGAACACTTTCAGTGCATAAGTTTATTCTGTATTTTGTTTGTTTTATGTTTATATGTTACTTTTTCAAAAAGTAGTGTATATGTACATACAAAACTTATACATTAGGAACAAACTTAGTTGCTCCCCTCCAGTAGAGTTCCAGTCAGGATTGTGGCAACATGGTGATATGAAAAGATAGGAAATTAACAGATCTCTCTTCCCAGCTTTGGTCTGACTATTAGTAATTATATGATTTACCATCTCAGGCCTGTTTTATTATTTGTAGAATACTCGATATCTGTCTCCTGGGTTAAGATGACACATGAAGGAAAGTCAATAAATGTTTGGCCTCTTCTATATTAGCAACTACTGGAACTTTAAAGTACTGTATATTAGAAATAGTTGGCAGTTTGCATATGAGACTTGACCACTGACAGGTTTGACAGATAAAGATAGAACAATATTTTCATTATATACTAGAAAGTAATTTATATTAAGAATATGCCATAAAATAAATCCACCATACCAAAATTCTTTTTTTAAGGGATATAATAGAAAAGAAGAAAAAACAGGGAGGAAGTGGAGTATAAGCTACTTGAGTAAGACTTGAAGAGCAGGGCCTCCCCCGTGGCGCAGCGGTTGAGCGCTGGGTTGCAAAGCCGCCTGTGGCCTCTGCAGCGCTGGTTCAATCCCCGGCTGCTCCCCGGCCACAGGGGGAGGTTCCCACATGGCGCGCAGACCTCTCCTGCCGCCCGCTGCTCCCCTCAGCAGTGTACTTCGGGCCTTCTGCCTGCTCTGCTCCCCGCTCTGGCTCTGGTGAATTCTCTCACCCTCCCGCGCTTCTGACTGTACCCAGTGCTTGTATAAACAAGACAAACAAAAAAATAAAACATGCCTCTATTTTAAAAAAAAAAAAAAAAGACTTGAAGAGCAGACTGGAGACCTAATTCTGACTTAAATCTCAAATGTATGGAGAAACATGGATTTCCTGTCCTACTCCTACACTAAATTGTTCTGAGACACATGAAATCACCAGCTGTTCTAGCTCTCTGCACATTCTTTCCCCGTGTGAGAAGGCAAATGGATCTTTCCATTTGCTCTTTATAACTGCATTTGAAAAATAACCTCACAAACATGTAATGTGCGTTTGAGTATATTTGTGGGGTGTCTCCAGTTTGGTATGTGTGATCACATTCCTGTCTTTCTTTTTGTCTTGCCAAAGAGTAATCAGATCTGCTATAAATTTCTAGGACTCAAGTGCCAAGCCTTTTGTTCATTTAGATTGGGGTTTGTGGAAGCATATAACTAAAAATTGTTGACTGATCTAAAGTTAGAACTAGGAACATTTTAAGAACTTTGTCAGGTAAATGGATAATGGATTTAAGATGACTCATTGGAGATGTAGCATTTATGGCTCCTAAAGAGCTTCCGGATGACTTGCTTCAGATGGGAATTGTTCAGTGCAGGATATAAAAATTTCTTATGGGATAAAAATACTTATTTTCACGCTTCCATTTGAGTCACTAATGTCAGGACTAAATATTATGTTAGAATTTATAAGTTAAAGATTTGTAATTCATTTTCTGATTTCTTTTCCTAAAAATAGTGAGCAACATTTAGGTAATAATGAATGAAAAACGGTTCTTCCTAAAACAGAAAAATACACCCAAAAATTTATTAAATAATTTCTCACCAAAACTTTTAATTCCCTGTGATAACACTTTACAATATGGTTAAGGGATCAGAAAGAATATTTTACTCATAATTGGAAGCTCTTTTAAGAAACATTGCTAGTCTGCAATGTTCATGTGGGGTGTAGCAGCCCTTTCTCACAAGCACATTCTTTCTCATTGCTATGTTGATGTGTATGTTAGCGATTAAACCGAAAGAATTAAAAGTTCTAGCTAGTGTTTCAAGCAGTAGTTGGTGTGAATTTCAGGAACCCATGCGATTTTAGATCATTTATGACTGAGTTTACTATAATAGATTCAGGTCATTCCAAAAATAATAGATGCTGCAGAGGTTATTAAACCATTCATGTGAAGTTCTTTCATCTTGTAGCATTTGTTCTGTAAAATTAGCAGCTAATTTTAGTAATCTTTTTGTCATCTCCCCTCCCCCCCTTTTTCCCTGCAGGTGGATCATACAATAATAATGTACTTGATTGGACCAGATGGTGAGTTTCTGGATTATTTTGGCCAAAACAAGAGAAATGCAGAAATAGCTGGTTCGATTGCTGCACACATGAGGGAACACAGGAAAAAGAGCTAGCCAAGCAGTGTTGATGCTGCAGTGTTCTCTTGCTAAAGAGGAAGGAAGCTTTGTCTCCCATAGGAGCCAACATATATGTATGTGCAGACTACTTTCATACCACTGGAACATCTATATTTAGAATGGGGCACATTGACCTTGGGATCAGCTAAGATAGTCTTGGAACTATAAAGATTACAACCAAATAGCCGCCATGAGACTGGAGGACCAAATTGATGTGGAGCCCACAGAGACGGCCTGAAGGAAGGACACTGGGGGAGAGGCCAGGCCATGCACATCCCCACATGAACGGCCCCTCTGATCAGCACTGCTGCCTCTCTGGTGTCTTGGACGCTTGCTCACACTGGCGTGGGCTGAATTTCTATGAAGAGTAATTTCCATGTATTCTTGCTTTGCATTTTGACTTTTTGGTGGCTGATTGCAGTCAAATTAGGCACTTTGCCATTCAAATATCAATTTTTATACTTGAAAGCAGAAGTGCTGTCTACCATGGTAATGACTTACTCAGGTTTGAGTTGTGTTCCCCTGTCAGCAGGCACTGATTTACCCAATAAAGAAGAAATCTATTGTTTTGGGGGAACAATTAGATCATTTTCTCTAGGGATCTTTTGTGTGATTTTTAACTAAAGAATGTGCCAGGTATTCAGTGATGTACCAAATGGAAAGAAGAGGGTACTGATCATGACTGTGATGGAGTAATTTCCTGCCTATGCTGGATTGCATTGTGTGAAATAAAAATAAAATAGGTTCTCAGGCCTGGGTGGATTTTTCTGAGTCTAGGTTAGGGCTTGGAGAGCTGCATTCAGAACAGACTTCCCAAGTGCCTCGGGTGCTGGGCACCATGCCCTGAGAAGCTTGGATGGAGAAGCAAGGTGTGAGCTGGGTGAAAACAACCCAACTGTGATGTATTAGTTCACAAAGTCCTGTGCACACAGCCATTTGGGAAAGTGATGTGGGAAATGAATCTTGACTTTTGTTTCTGAATTTAACTTACTTGGGTGCCATCTTTACTGTCATCTTTTTCTCTTTCTTGAAGCTGCTGCCTAAGGCAAAGTTCTCAACACATCAGTAAATGCTAATGCAACAAGATAATGCCTAGTCAGATAGCAGATTCTCTTTGCAGCTGTGTTTTACAGTACACATAATGCAGGCCTATCTTTTGGTTTTTAAATTAGTTTTAATACTCAGGTTAAATCTTCTGTAGATAAGTCAAAGTATGTGGAAAAGAAAAATCATGACCTCTGTAGTTGTTAGAGACTGATTGCACTTCCCTCCCCCAGTCCACATGTTGAAGTCCTAACTACCAGCACCTCAGGATGTGACTGTATTTGGAGACAAAGCCTTTAAAGCGGTAATTAAGTTAAAATGAGGCTGTTGGTGTAGGCCATGGTCTAAAATGACTAGCATTTGTTTAAGAAGAGGAAATTAGATAAACTGAAGACCCAGAGAGAGGCCTCCAGAAGAAGCCAACTCTGCCAACAGTTTGATATTGGACTGAATGTCCAGAGCTGTAAGAAAATAAATGTCCATGGTACTTAGTTACAACAGTCCTTGCACACTAATACAATGGTCATTCTCCTTTCTCAGTAAGTTCCTTAATAAATGATGATGATTTAGTTCCTGTGAGCAAACACAGGAGCAGCTGGTTTGTAATGACTTCCTAGGAACCTTGTCAAGCAGGTGAGGGACTTAATAAAAGACTAGACTCTTGTTACAAAGAAAAAGTCCAGACACTTTAAAAAGGTGGTCTGTGTTAATCTAGAAAACTGGATCACTTTGAATTAAGCTTGTTCTAGCTAAAATGGAGGCTTTGTCCTCAGCTGTTGCAGCAAGTTAGAGCTTGTATGTTGATCCAGAAAGGGAAAGCAGCTTTTGAAGAAACTTTCATTTACTCTTCATTCCGGTGTAAATGTAAAGGCTTAGTATAAGCAGGATGCGAACAGAAGCTGGGAAGGGGTCTCAAAGATGATGAATAAATTTCTTAAATGCTTGAGGAGAAAATCCCAGAGATTAAAGTGCTGTCCTTTTGAGCCTAGATTTAAGTTTGGATCCCACTTTCTTTTTTTTTTTTTTTTTTTTTTTTTTTTTAAATAGAGGCATGTTTTTTTTGTTTGTTTGTTTTTTTTTTTTTTTTTTTTTTTTTTTTTTTGTTTATACATGCACTGGGTACAGTCAGAAGCGCGGGAGGGTGAGAGAATTCACCAGAGCCAGAGAGGGGAGCAGAGCAGGCAGAAGGACCGAAGCACACTGCTGAGGGGAGCAGCGGGCGGCAGGAGAGGTCTGCGCGCCATGTGGGACCCTCCTCCGGTGGCTGGGGAGCAGCCGGGGATCGAACCGGCGCCACAGAGGCTGAGGGCAGCTTCGCAACCGAGCGCTCAACCGCTGCGCCACCGGGGAGGCCCTGGATCCCACTTTCTTATCAGTTCCCTTTTTCATTTGCTGTGGGGTATCATGATGACCATGTGATTCCAACTAAAAGGTGAGGAAGGGGGCCTCCCCGGTGGCGCAGCGGTTGAGCGCTGGGTTGTGAAGCTGCCCGCGGCCTCTGCGGCGCCGGCTCAATCCCCGGCTGCTCCCCGGACACCAGAGGAGGGTCCCACATGGCGCGCAGACCTCTCCTGCCGCCCGCTGCTCCCCTCAGCAGTGTACTTCGGGCCTTCTGCCTGCTCTGCTCCCCGCTCTGGCTCTGGTGAATTCTCTCACCCTCCCGCGCTTCTGACTGTACCCAGTGCTTGTATAAATAAATAAATAAATAAATGTTTAAAAAAATAAAAGGTGAGGAAGGGAGAGCGTGGCTCTGCTGGTCTCAGAACAGCAACCTTCACTGAATCTGGGGAATCAAAAGCTAGGCTGTCTTTTAGCAAAGAAGCACTTGCAGATGTCTCCCTGGGTGGGTTACGGGATTTTTGCTGTACTCTTTAAAGGAATTAATATTTCAAGAATGCTTTTTTGTTTATTTGAAAATTGTAAGAACCCAGTACATGCAGTAGGCTCAGAAGTTCTTCATGCATCTGGCTGTCCATCAGACAGCTAATACTGTCAGTGTAAGAGCCAAGATTCACTAAAACCAGTAAAATGTCCATGGAGTTGGGAAGCTCATGTGAGCTCGCTAAATGATATGAAATTATATGAACTATTTTTAAGTGTCTCAATGTTTATAAATGAAAGGTTAAAAAAAATTTTTCAAATCACCCATAGTTCTCCAAATAAATTCTTTTTCTGCATGTTGCACAACTTAAATCTGGTTTGTGTGTGTGAGAGCTTCAAGAAGAAACATCTATGCAAGCATTTTTCATCCATTTAAGTTACATTTTTACTCATGGTTATGAGTTACATTACTCTGTAATGAAGTGGTTATTCTTATTAATGAGTTGCAACTAATGACCTCATTAGCCATGTGTTCCTTAACACTTTTAGTTCTTAAGAGGTAACTATTTTCTCATCATTTTAGAAAATGCATTTTAAAGAAGTTCATTGATTCCCCCATAATTGTACCATAGCCTCAGATCATACACCAAAATATTGAAGAAATTTTAATATTACGATTGTTACACTACCAGGAAACAATATTTGGACAATTTCTTTTGCAACTTCAACACTTAAAGGTCTTGTATTTTACCAGAAGTCCATAGATGTATTCCTTTCAAAAAAATTAGACATCACAGGGCCTCCCTGGTGGTGTAAGGGGTTGAGTCTCAGCACTCCGAAGCTATCCGCAGCCTCTACAGCAGAAATTCAATCCCTGGCCAGGGAGCTAACCCACATGGCGCAGCAGACCTCTCCCGACTCGCCCACTGCTCCCCTCAGCCCATTCTGTTCCCCACTCTGGTGAATCCTCTCACCCCCCACACCTCTGACCTGTACTCCAGTTCTTGTATGCATAAATAAATCTTTAAAAAAAAATTTAGACATGACAAATGAAGCTCAAGTCTGCCCACCACCTCCCCCGCCCTTCTTACAGGCAGCTACTGTTCACTGTTGGGTGGAGTGGATGTCTTTCCAGAATATTAAGGATCCATGTAGACTGTATTCCCAAACTCAAGTTATGTTAATAAACTCAATACTATGTTAAAAGTGTCACTAGTAGGACTAGTACAGATATTGCTCAGTTTTATGTACATCACATGGCTGCTGATGTTTCATCTATTCCTCTACCTGCTCCCACCCCATCCTGAATGTGTATCAATAAGAGACAGATAAAAACAAACACAGTCCCATTATCACATCCAAAAAGGGCTTTTTTGTTTTTGCTTAATATCAAATAGAAGGTTAGTTTGTAATTGGGCCTTTTGCTTCTAAGAAGTCACAATACTGCTCAGTGTAGGAAGGTGCTCTTCCCACGTCACCCATGGGACCTTGTGACTGCCCCCAGTTCAAGGAAGACAGGTGTAGAGTAAAAATCCCTGAAGGCTCCCTACCACCTCTCGCTTAAAGGTGGCAGTATTTGGGTTGGGCCAGATTAAAAAGGCCAACACACTTGCCTTAGTTTTTTTTTTTCTTTTGGTTGTTTTTTTTTTTTTTTTTTTTTCCTATGTAAACAGGAGTAACGGGACAAAAGGGCATGCTGTGAGGACAGAAAACGAGGCTGTGAGGCTTACTGGTGGCAGGAGTTGGGATGGTTCATTGAAAAGGGGCAGGAGCAAGGAGAAATTTGGGTTCATGGAAACACTGTACAGCTTGATCTGGGTGATGACACATAAAATATATTTATGCATTTTATTAAATATAATCTATAAAAAAAATGGAGGAAGGCAAGCAGTGTCCTATGAACGGCTTGGAAAGACGGATGTGGTGAAGGCATCAAGCAACTCGCTCTAGCTGGGACAAGCTAGTAACTGACATCGGATTGTCCAGGAAAGAGAAGAACTGGAGACTGCACAGAAGGTGAAAGTCTCCCCAAGCCTCAGCACAAACAGGGGAGTCACAAAATAAGGCTGGGGCCTGATGTGACTCCAGCAGGACTGGACTGGGCCAGGTACACCATGCTTCTCATCCCACTCAGAGTTGCAGGAAATAAGCAGCCCCAGTAACCCCCAAGCTGGAAGACGGGGACCTAAATCTGACACAGCTTTGCAATGGAGAGATTTGCTCAGGGGCTTTGGGAGGCTTTCTGGGACCCAGGACACTGAGGGCCGAACAAAGTAAAGGAGCAAGCACGTCACTCAGCTTCAGGGAGCAGCAGCTGCCCCTTGCCAGTCAAGCTGCAGGGCTGTTCTGCTGACTGGTGCCCGATTGAGTCCCTTTTTATGGAATAAGCCAGGGGCTCTGCCCTGAGACTCAAGCCATCTCAAGTATTCTTGGGTGGATCTGCAGTTGCTGATACTTTATCCATCTTCCATCCAAGGTAAGTGTCCCCCTGAAGTTTGTAGATGTGTGAGAGCCTCCCAGAAGCAAGAGTTCTTACTAAGAGGCCTGGGCTCTGCATCTGCTGTGCAATGTGCTCTGACAATCTGGAGGTGGTTTGCCATCACAGTATCAGAGATGGCAGAGACCATCCAGCATGTCCTTCTCCTTGGATAGGAGAGGAAGGCCCAGTGGGGACTTATCTGCAAGTCTGTTACAAAGATAATGCTAGAACTCCTCCCCAGCGTGCTCCCTGGACCAGCAGATTTGTTGCTGAGGACTGGCAGAGATGCAGAGTCTCAGGAGCCACTGCAGGTCTCCTGAATCAGAACCTGCATGTTAACAGGATCCCCGAGTGCTGCGTTTTTAAAATATATATATATTTATTTTTATATATTTAAAAATATATATATTTTATACAAGAACTGGGGTGCAGGCAGAGGTGCGGGGCTGAGCGGAGGGGGCAGTAAGTGGATTCACCAGAGACAGAGTGGGGAGTAGAATAGGCAGACTGACTGAAATACACTGCTGAGGGGAGCAGCGGGCAAGACAGGAGAGGTCTGCTGTGCCATGTGGGTCAGCTCCCTGGCCAGCAGGGGATCCAACTCAGACCATGCTGCAGTGGCTGCAGATAGCTTCATAGTGCTGCGACTTAACCCCTTGTGCCACCAGGAAGGCCCCCCAAGTGTTGCTTATGTCCATTTGAGAGCTCATGTGAGAACCACTGCTCTAAGCAACCTGATCTTTTTCCCTCCTTGTGCCACAGAGTCTACCGATTTTTCTCCAATAGGGAAGGGAAAACTAAGGTAATTAATCTTCCCCTGACCAGGAAGCTATTTAATTAATTTTGCTTCCATTGAACATAATTTAAAAGAATCTCTCAAGTAAACATATTCCATTTCCTGATAGCTATTTGAACGCTCCACTTAAAAATTTTTAATCAAAGACATATATCATTGCCTGTCAGAATTGTGTTCAGCGTAGAATACCAAGTTTCTCCTCTGAGTTCATATAGTTCCAGAAGAAGGAACGAAATATACTGTTAGCCTGTGAGGCCTTATCAGGACTAAATGCAGTATGTCCATTTGGGCGTTTTGAAATAATTGAATTGAAGCCAAATTGAGGACCATGTGATCGCCAGTTGGCCCTAAGATCATCAGGCTGATGAGAGGGATGATGTAATTAGTGGAACTGGGGTTACATCTGCCCAGCTCCTGGTGAGCTCAGGCTCTGGTGAGGCTTAGTTACAGTAGACAGCCTGCAAGGCCCAGCTTCCATTCTCAGCAAGGACAGGCAAGTATCCAGTGTCTAAAGCAGGAAAGCCTTTGGATGGATTGCCTGCTGGTCCAGGTCCCCTGACTCCTGTGTCCCTGACCCAGCAAGTACAAAAGGCACCTATGCCCATCAACACAGAAAGCCCAGCTGAAAGGCAGGAACCCAGAACTTGAGCATTGAGTGATTCACTCATTAATTCAGCATTTTTTCAAAATATCTATGTGAAGCTAAGTCTCAGGGATATATAGACTCAGTCACTGGAGAACGCCTCTGAGCAGCCAATCATTACATGGAAATAAACAAAGATAGGTTAGTTTTTTGGTTTTTTTTTTTTTAATTTATTTATTTATACACGCACTGGGTACAGGCAGAAGTGCGGGAGGGTGAGAGAATTCACCAGAACCAGAGTGGGAAACAGAACAGGCAGACTGACGAAG